CGCGCCCATAAGGACGTTTGTCTACTAGTATATGGGAGGTCAGCGAGGAAAGTTTAGTGATGAAGGCAACAAAATAACTAACACCAAACAACTGAGCCATGAATAGAAATTTAAGGTACTGTGTGGTATTATCATACAATACTTTCTTATCTAAAGTGAATAAGTGATGGTTCTTTTCTTTGATATTTATCATTATGGACAATGGAGAGTGGACTATACTATGGAGAATGGACATTATGGACTATACTAAAAACATTCTGTAAAATACATTGTCAATCATCAGAGGCAAATAAAAAATATCTGTATACTATATATAACTTTTGTTGAAGCTAGGCCAGTATATAGTACTAGTAAGATTGACCCTACCTCAAATATCTCAATGATTTGACACTTTTTAATGTTTCCAAATCACTCTATATAGAAAAAAAGGAGTAAAATGAATTTATTTCTTTGTTTCTGTATTCAAATGATGTAACAGATATAATAAAATCTTTGACCACCCTACTATACTTTAAACAAATCCTTTTGTAAAGGTTTTAGGTAAAAAAAAAGTATTGTAAATCATGTACTGCAGTGCATTATACTAAATTTCAAGTATGGATGATTTCTGCAATCAACAATGAAAGAAGGAAAATCTGCTCATCTGCCAAAGTACTTCTAAACATGTTTAGCATGTCACATACCAAATCTTGCATACTGTTGTTGGTCAAGACCAGAGTTTCCAAATTTGGTAAACATGTTTCTAATCCTTCACCAATTCGACTATAACAAAAATACAAAGTAAACAAAACAAGACCTTCATACACAATGTTATGATTTGTTGAGTCAGATTTTTTTACATAAAATGAAGACTTTTAAATAGAGAGAACTTTGTAGATTGGTATTTGTCTTTTGGCTTGAAAATAAAAACCCTGAAATTCCTGTTTAGTTGTCTAGCTATGCATTGGGAACTCATGTTTTCCACAGCTAGAAGTACTTTTTTCTTTGCATATCTGGAATTGAGTATTGACTAAGTTGAAGCACCATTACCTTGTAAACATATAATTTGAATATATGACATTATCACTCTGGAAATTGTTATATTGATGAAAATGTGCCTTGCATTAATCAAGTGATTTTTGTTCGATAACAACAAAAAAAATGCTAAAACAATGGCAGATTGAAGATTTAGGGCCTGTTTTCACAGCAAAAATATTAAGACTACCAGTATTCAAAATATAATGCATTTCAAACGTCTATTGTTCCAAGCAGTGATTTGGTGAATAAATTATCTATGAACAATGGAATTAAGGAATTTTTCTGGGTGACGCCATCGATAGCTTACCTCAATTTGGTCCATCCACACTTGCAGTAAAAATATATATGCATAAAATCATTAGATCTCATTCAAAACACTTAAAGTAACCTAATTTACATGGGTACATGTATTTTTAGGTTTAACTTTTTCATAGACAGGTATTAATCAAATCAAGATTAACAAGCAATAATGACCCTGTAGCTACATTTTTTTTACTATTATACATAAGAGGATTTTTCAATTGACTATTCAATTGAAAGATCTCAGAATGGAAAAATAGCTTCTGGGTCATTTTCATAAGCCTTGTTGAAATGTATGAAATAATACGAAGATATTTATACCAGGAAAGAATGATGCTGTGTAATTTGCATTTTGGAGAAATGAAACATTAATAGAAGAGATTCAGTTAAATGTGATCTGGGAGAACGCATAATTTTGTGTTACCCATCAGTATATTAAGGATGTATAAATATCTTTATTTGCAAAAATAATATCCATGCAATGTACAGTGTAAAAGAGGAGTTGTTTATATAACATCTGATGGCAACAATAATAGATAACATCACTAATAGATAACAGATTTTTCATCATGAATACTCACCAAACTCTGTTGTTATTCAGCAAGAGACATTTCAATCTCTTTAATAAGGGAAATCCTTCAAGTTTCTTGATATCATTATCTGAGAAATTGATTGTGTCAAATTGGTCCTAAAAACACAATAGCAGTGAATTGAAAACCCTTTATTACTGACAATATTTGCCACTAATATCTCCAGTTTTCCCAACCTTTTTACCTTTGACATGTTGAGAAAGGGTCCCCTTCCCATTTCTCAACATGTATATAAAAAGTAGCAAACATATTGGATTAATGCTATCCTAGAATATTCTCACACTGCTAAAATCAATTAAATATTGTTCAGTCATGCCATTTATGGGCCATATTCTATATATTTATCAATTTCAATTTTACCTACGGTACCTAAACTTTGTATTTCTCAACTTATCTTTAAAATATTATTATATTGATTTATAGGACCTTTCAGATAAAGTTAATTAATTAAGAGAAAAATGTTGTTGACCCAGCTAAGCAAGTTGGCCTGCTTTGCAAAGTGACCTGTTTGCTTATTATTGTGTTGCTTATTATTTTAACATTTCTATTGCATGGGAAGGAAATGTTCTCATCGTGCTGGGTTGTAGCTTGCTAAGTCAACTGTAGCTTACCAAAGTTGCTCCAAGGTTTTCAATGACTGGAATCTTGTAACCTATATATACAAAAATGACTGATAGTGATGGATCATGGTGGATTAATAAACTATGACTGTACTTTTCTTGAAGCACTTTTTGACACAAAGTTGCAAGAATTGATATCACTTATTACTCGTGCTCTAGGAGGGCACGAGTCTAGGTTTCGTCGTGTGTCGGTCGCGTTTTGGACCTCGATGACCCAGAATGCATTGCGCACTTGACCCAGTAATGTATGACGAAATGTAATTATTCGACAATACAAGCCACTTTTACAAACAACACGGCAAAATATATTGCACAGAAGACATTACTACGGTGCAACATTTAACGCATATTCCTTGGTGCGATGTATATTTTTAAATTCCTATATGAAAGCAAGATATATGATCGATGTTTTCGCAGTTTTAGACCTACAAATGCTTATAAATCACACTTATTAATACCTAAATGTTTGAACCGTCGACTGACATTACGAACAATGCGAATCAATACTATTACAACTAGATTTTTGAAAGCTTTCGTCGGAACTAAAACACTGCAGTCTGCAGTCAATATGGATATAATAGAAGCATTGAAACAGTAATATGTCACGCCGTGCAGATTGTTTATAGGCTACCTATAATCGGCATTTGTGAATTGTGATAATAATGTAAATGTATTATTTTATACTTGTGTGATACATTTTTGTCGTGTAAGTCCTCCCAGGCCAGGGTAACCATAAAGCCTTAACTTACGCTATAGGTTCCCACAACACGCCATGATTGTGTCCCTCAAGTAATGCTATTAAGTCCCTAGAACACAATCCCTAGAGCACGAGTGTACGCCTAAGCCGGCGTCTTGTTCGTAGTTTGAATTGACAACTTTATATATAAGTATTGTTTTATAGTGGACTGTTGATTGATCTCGTGGATTTGAACTATCCGAACATTTAATTCATTCCCATTTCCTAATTACCTAAATTTGAAGCAGTTTCCCAACAGCGAACGAAATTATCACAATTGTTTGCAGTACTGTTAGTTCCAGGGCAAAAAAGGCATGAATCAAACTATAAACGAAGTAAATACCTCGAAGATCAAGTTCTCTGTCTTTGAGTGCATTTGTAAACTGTGCTGACTGCAAAATCAGATCAGCTGTAAGCTTCATTATATCTTTGAGCGATTTTCAGCTTATGTATTCTCCTCACTTCTAGCAAACTGCGGTTAAGTAAAATCCGTTTTAAAGATCACCAGCAACTTTTATTTTCTTTACTCTTGCTAAAATTTTCGTTCCAAAACGTTCTACATATAACACACATGTCAGAGGCAAAATCTCTTGTCTCCGTTCTGCGCATGCTTGATGGCTTTTGCTTTGGACCAGTGAGCGAAATCGCGGGCTCCAATTGAATCTCGCGCTTTTTCCACTATATTCCATTATATAGCTCAGTGGCTTTTTCCTTATAAAAGTCAAATATGAATATCAAACAGAAGACTGGTTCTGGCTTCTGATTGGCTAATTTCCTCAGCTCGCTTAACACTGATCTTTATGTATTACTGGAGTGATTGTCCTAAAACTGTGTTCCAAACTAATAAAACGCACAGGGCTTCCACTTGCAAGGAAATTTCCCTGCAAAAGGAAATTTTGGCTTTTTCAAGGAAAAAGGCAAGGAAATAAAATTGAGGAGGAAATGGCCAGGAAATTTTAGCCTGGGCAAGGAAATTGCAAGGAAATCTTGAAAATTGTTTATATTAGACTTAAAATTGAATAAAAAATAATAAGTTTGCAAAGATTTGGTTCTTCAAGTATATAACCATTTTCCTCACTCATTATAGGTGTAGGGTTTTGTTTTCTTCCGGGAGGGGGGCTTAAAACTTGGCTAACCAAGGTATAGACTTCATGTAAGCCGAGCTAAAAGTCTCCCTGTATAAAATGAGGAATACAGAAAGTAGTGGCTGCGGATCTAAACTTCGTATTTCAGAATTGCTTTTCTAAGTTGTTTGATATATTATTATATGTTATTATATTCACTAATAAAACTGTTTCATGTGTATATAAGGATGTCTTTTTAAAGATTCAACATTGCTAAATGAATAATATGATGCAATTATTACCTAGTAAATTTTTTACCCTAAAATTTCTCGGGGGGTTCTAGCCCTCAGCCCCCCCTCCCCAAATACTCTACGCCTATTTTACACTTCTATCAAAGTTTCTGTGGTTAATTTAATAAAAAGTGACCAATTTTTTGGATGAATTTTGGAAGTATTTTTGTATATGGAATATATTTCAGATGTATCACTTAAAAAAATATTGTTTATTTTGTCACTGAGAAAAATTTGTTCCATTAAGGCCGCTATTTGCAAGGAATTTGCAAGGAAATTTGGAAATTTTGGCATGGAAATATTTTTAGAAAAAAGGATTTTTTAGCATCTCAAAAGGAAATTTGGTAAATCAATTGTGGAAGCACTGAAAACGCATGTACATGTGGAGTTGATCAAAGTAGTGAAAGTAGGGGTATCATTAAATTTACGGAATTTGATCTCGTTTATATGGCCGAGAGGAATATTCCCGTGGTTGATGTGCATGCGGAAAATGTCAGGGAATATTGGCCAGGACTTATCTTGGCTATTAAGTCTGCAACTTTTATTGCACTTGATCTGGTGAGACATAATTATATATGTACAATCATGGTAATAATCTAAACTATGGACTATAAAACGGCAATTCTCACAGAGGATAGGTTTAGGCAGTAGGGTGCACAGTGACAATGAATTAAAGAAAGCATGTTTTAATGTACATTTTTGTCGCAGGGGTATGGAGTAATATTGAAGATGTATGGTAGTTTTTGGTTTGTCTAGAAGTCCAGAACTAGAGGGTCAGGGGTGTGGTCATAGCTAAAAGCTTAGTTGGGGGGTGCATATTCATATATTCATTGTATGCCCAATGTAATTCTTTTGTTCACCATTGTTTCTATGATATATGTAAACATGAATAAGATTGATAGGTTTAATTGATTCCTGAGGAGGCAACACTGGTGTGAAGATGTGTGCATGGCTTTAATGAAAGGCAAAAGGGAATTCACTTTTTTTCCCCTTTCCCATACACCATATGTTATAAGATACCTAATTTTAGCACATGGGGATGGCAAATACCACCCCTTGCCTCCCCTAGTGATGCCACTGCATAAAATTTTTTATTTGTCATCTGCATTAGCCTGTTTAAATCGCTTGATGAAGTACAAACGTTTTGCTCATTATTTTTACACATGTCAAATATATGTTTCTTTATTTGTCAACGTAAGTCCTAAAGTTTTTTTGTTTGAACTCTTTAAAAAGGTAGGTTATCTAATATGTACTTGTATTAGCTTTCATGCTGGAATATTAGTCTTTCTAAAACATATGATCATTTCCTGCTGACCATTAAGCAAATCGATCAATTTCCTGCTGCATTCTTTCCTGATAATGTAAAGCTAGTTAACGTTCTAAACTGGTGGTTTCATCTGCAAACTTTCACATACGTGATTCTATTTACCTAACGGAGTGACGGGCATAGATCATAGATAATTTCTAGACAAGAACCTAATTACATGTTCCTTGAGGTATTCCAGGTGGCACATTTTTTCAACCAGAAAAACTTTGATCGTGTAATTTAATTATTTGTTGTGGGTGAGAAAATCATTAAGCCAGTTTATGGTTCAAGGTTTGACATTAATTAGGTTTGTAGAATTGGCAATCAGACTTGAGACGTTATGAGCTATTATATTGAATGCCTGGGAATGCAAGACGAATTGCTGCGTGTCTTCTCCCCGAATAACCATGCATTAAATTCATAAAGAATTTAGACATCATCATAATTCATTGATAATATATGTCTTTAAGATGTGTTGTTCTTTTTTTAATGTGTTGTTCTTTTGAATTCCACAAAGTTGTCTAAGTTCTTGCTATACTATCTTGTCTCTAACTGCAATAATTTTATTAGGAGATGAGCGGTATAGGTAACAGAAAAGACACCATGGCAAGGTAATCCTAATAGAATCTTAATTTCAGAAATTGTTTTAATAAAACTAGCAGACGTCTTTGTTAAATGAGATTATTTTCCACCCCAGAGATTCGAATGAAAGATACAAGGCATTTTGCGACATTGCAAAGACACGTTCTATACTGTCTGTGGGGATTTCAGTCTTCCAGAAAAGAGCTGAAAATACACAAGTTGGAAAAGGAAATTCTGATTTTTTTGTTCAAACATATAACGTGATGCTGTTGCGAAAAGACAGTTTCACTGTCGAGCCTGCCTCATTGAAGTTTCTATTGGAGCATGGTTTTGATTTCAATACACATTATGCCAAAGCAATTCCTTACTCTACGCCTAACGTCAAGGTACGTGACAGTGTGTCAACGGAGCAGTTGTTCCACTGAAATATATGGGGAGCTGTACACTTGTAAGTCTCTGGCATCGGGTGTTTTGGATATTCTTATAATTTACCAACTCAAAATTTAGATATGTATACGATTTTTGTTATGACACCATTTTGATGCATAACTCAATATGCTAAAAGCACATTTACTGATCGCGGAACAGAAATTTCTGTCCTGCTGATATTTCAGATATGAGCCTTTGGCTTTAGTGCGTGCATGCATGCAGGTATCACGAAATAGTCTTTTCTGTGAACCTAGTATACGTTCTGTTCGACGCATGCATGCATTAGCTATATTACTTTTTCGTCACTTTAAAAAAACGTACTGTGTACTGTAATTCACTATCAACCCACTACTTATTAGTGAAATAATTAACTATGAATATTTCAAGTTATTTCAGTCAATTTACGATAAAGGCCTTAAGTTTATAAAGGGGAATGCATCTAATAACGATTCACATTTCTCACTAATTATAACATAAATTTGAACATATGTATTCAAGACGTCGCATGCCTTAGTGCTATTATTTTATAAGTCGTAGTCATGATCGCTAGTTTAATGTTCAGCCTTAGGAATATGTAAAAAATTGCTTAAAGATAGTCCGTGTATACCCGTTGGCCGTTGTGTCATCTTAAACTCCCTATACTGAAAATCTCAGCTAGGAGGGGAAAATATTGATAACTTAATACGATAGGTGGGACAAAATATAGGCATGAAATCTTACATTAATTTTTCCCGCCTTCACGAAAACCATTGCGAGTTCTCTCTTCATTGAAATATGATATCTCAATTCAATCTACTCTACGTCCCATACACTCCGTTGCCCCGGTGTCAGAGCAGAAGTCCGACGACTGAATATATACATATTACAGGATGCCAAAAAAGATGGAAACACGATATCAGAGTTGTTTTTCGAAATCTTGAGGTCTTCCAAACCAATTGCATTACACAATGGGATAATGGATCTCGTGTTCTTATATCAGAATTTCTACACTGATTTGCCTTCGTCATTATCGACCTTTCTTGCTGATCTCTCGGTAATGTTTAATGCTGGAGTAATAGATACGAAATACATTGCTGAATTTCACGCGGGTTGTTCCGCAACCTACCTGAATTACATTTTTAAAAAAAGGTACAGTATGCCAAATAATCTTATTTCTGTTAGCCGGGTTTAGAGGTGATGAAATCAATTGGACATTGTCAAAGATTATAATTATTATAACCTGTCATGCATACTGTATCATTATATCCATAACAGTATTTCCATTTACTATAGCTATATTATAATATAACTTTTATAGTACGCATGCACTGATCTTTCCTTTGCCCCAATTTCCACGAATTACTTACAGATTCAGTCAGTTTGGGTTAGGACGAATTCCTCACATCCATTTCTCCTTAGTTGGCGCGAAAATATCGAATATGAAGCAAGTGGTAAAACGTGTGTGACTATTGAATGCTGTAGTTATCCATCAACCGCTGATGTCTCGATCAATGGAATTATCAACAAGATATCAGTGTCTGCGGGCTCAGCTCTACCTTGCGAGCAGTATGCGGTGGGTTTAGCCTAGTAATCTAGGCCTTTCGCTCCCTGCTTTGTGTAATAGTGGCCGCGCAGAATATGGGTTGACATAGATTTTGCCAAACTTTTGGTTATGTACCAGTGTCCTGGATTGAGCAGCTTTATTTCAAGAGGGTATAGACCACTCAGCCCTGTGTCGACTGGAAGGATAACAAATTTAACAAATTTAACAAATTATATAGCTATATATAATATATTATGTATTTAAATGCCATGCAAATGTAAAGACAAGGCACTTTATTCTTTATAGACTTTATGCATGAATCAAATATGAAATGTTCAATTTTGATTTCCAAACTTCTAAAAAATCCTTTCTCCTTCCTACAGGCGCATGGCTATTGTCCTAAAGGAATGCAATGTGAGATGTCGCATGACATTGATGTCATTTTGAATTATGAACAGCAGAAGAAGGCCAAGAAGAAGAAACGGAAACGAAATAGAAAGTCAAAACAGAATATTTCTTCCAAAGAATGTGAAAATGATGAAAGTTGTGAAATAAACGGCGGTGCGGATTGTGATATCGCCGTTGAGTCGAACAAATCCGAAAACCCATCAGAAACGAAAAAACCGACGAACACCGCCACGGGAAATCACCGTGCTGGTTTTGATGCTTTTATGACTGGGTTTTGTATGGCGTTTTATTTTCATCGCTTTAAAACCAAGGACGCATCATCTTTTGCTGAAAGTGTTCCCGATTTTGTTAATAAGTTAAACCTGAGCGGCAAAGATATACCCTTGAAAGTCGAAAAGAGTCAATACTGTAAGACTTCTCTTCATCATAACGAGGTCTGGAAAAGGGTGACATCATGTTAAATAATTTATATGTAAGTATAACCTAACTGTTTACGTTGTTCGACAAGATGTTAAATTCAATCGTTTAAAATTTGTTGTAGCCTATAGCTAGAGGTTGAAACCCAGTCGCATACCTTTCGAAATCGAGCTATATTTGCGTCAAAAATACACATGCACGGCGAGGCAATGTCTAACAACTGAACTGTAATAAAACCTGGAACGATAACTCTTATGGTTCAGTTCTATATTTCGTGGATGCAAAAGCATGAAGCAAAAAGCTGAGATTTTGACTCTATTAATTGCCTGATAATTTTTCTGCATGCGAATTAGCAAATCAACGTATTTTACTTCTACTATTGTTTTTAAACATTCCCAGATATTTAGGTATTTAATAAGCCAGTCTTAAACGTTCGAAAACTCAGAAAAACCACCTTCAATTTAGTTATAAAAGATGTCGACGTAGTTATATTGTTCCAAGTTTTTTACAGTTCCACAAACTCAAGTAATTGTCAAGTAATTTATACGGCTGCTATCATGTGGCAACAGAACCAAATGTTATGTAGAAAGATATTTATATTACAGGTAAAAGATGCATATATAGGAGATGGTTAAAATTGTGTGAAAATAATAATCCGCCGTGCAATATTAAACCCACTCACAATAGATATTCTTTCAATTCTATATTTGATTCGAAAAATATATCAATGAAGTCGCTACACAATTGACAGCCAGATTTGATATGATTTTCGCCACGAGAAATTGGGTTCTAGACTTTAAAACGAGGGCACACGGCCCGTCTCGGTTTCACGGAGTAGTAATTGCAGCATTGCATTACTGCGCGGTTGTAATAGAAGTAGCCACAGCACATATGGCCGCCTTTTTTCTCGTACACTTTACCGGAGCAACAGATTTGCTTGGCGGGATTGAATATAACATTGCCACAATCTAAAAGTTGAAAAAACCCAAAATGAATTTGATCGTAGCGGATTGTATTTTTTAAAGAGAAATCTCGAAAGTGATTCCAGCTGTGCGATATATACTTACAGAAGTATGGACAGTATGCGAATTCATATGCGCAGGCCCAATTAGCACCCGTCTGACACGTACTATAGGTTAAAAAGATGAGGTCGCGGAAGTTATATAGGAGGTGTTAGGACGTGGTTCCACGTAAAATGCGAAAGATTTTGCCTGTTTCTTTTGAATTGCGACCACTTGAATAAATTGCTAAATCGTCGAGCTACGTTATTCGTAAAGCCTATATAATGCGCACTATAGCTATACGCACTGTCTCTAATGTCCAATAGACCTTTTTCATAATGACGTCAAAGTCTGATCACGCGGATCAGTTCCGTCACGCGGAAAGTCTGATCTTACACGAAGTTTGATTAGCTCGATGGTTTAGCGGAGCCAATCCAATTCCGTGTATCATCAGACTTTCCGCGTTTGACGTCATTATAAGAATGGTCTATTACCTAAGGAAAAAAACTCGTGTGCGGGTATGTCTGACCATATTTGCCTGGCGTTGATCTTTGTATCAATTTTTGTGTAATTTTTGTACTTGCGACTAGTGAAACTATTTCACTCACCATTTCATGCAGTTACAACGAATGGCGATGCCAGGCTTGTGCCAAACCTTGATGCCCCAGTGACACACTAAAAAGTTAAAATGGAAAACGAAAGCATATAATCCGTAAATAATATAAGTCTAGATTGATTGGTTCTTCCTACGTGTGTTCAATAGTTTTTGTTTGGATACATTCCGGCCATTATTTTCTATATATTTAGTCACGTATAGCAATTTCTAGTTTTAAGTCTTAAAATACGTCTTATAATATCGAGAAAAGTGTCGAGGCAAACATAACTCCTAAATTATGATATTTCCAACGAATACAACTGAGAAGATAGTGCATGTGAATAAACATACGTCCTTTATTCGCGATACTGTCCGGGTCATCATTTGCAACGGTTGTGAGATCAGTCGACGTTTGAATGTTCATGTCTTCCATAACAATTTTTTGTTGTTCATCATTTGATGTCTCTTGAGTTTCCTCCGCGTTGTTGAATTCATCTTAAAAAATGAAACGGAATCCCATTGATTATTTCTCGTTCTCCCAAACTGCCACGCGTGATTGTCGGAGTGAATAATATATAGGCTTGTAATCACCGAAGTGAATATAGGCTTGAAATCACCGAGCCTTTTTCTAGTATATATACATTTTCACCTCGGAGGTGTTTACAAGTAAGAATAAACACAATTTCATAAAAATTTATAATTACTTCAAGTTTCTTATTTTAAAAAAAGCATCAAAAAGCTAGCCTATAGTCATGCAGTGATGCACTGACCAGAATGTAGAAAAAATCAATAGTCACCTCGAAATTTACACTATATAGAAACGCGGAAATTGTTTTCTATATTGGCTATACGTACTAAAGAAAAGCCAGATATATGCATGAGGTATAATTATTTATCAAAAACGTGCCGCATGCATGTTCTGCACTTAGAAATTATGTGCATGCAACATGGTGGTACAAAAGGCGTCATAAACCGACTAAATATAAAAACTCAGTTGACTATAAATTATACTATTTCGAATTTCCAGGTAGGTATATGAACGTATAAATACACAGTATGCATGCATGTATACTATAAACGCAAGACAGCCTTTATAACTCACGTGCCATTATATTCTTATGAACAAATATAGGATTTATTTAAAGATTCTTTTTGTAACACATTTGTCTTTTACTCACTCACTTTTGCCGTTGCAAGACACGCCAGCAAAGTTAAAACGAAAATTTTCAAAGACATGATTTTCTTCACTCTGGCAACTCGTAAAGTGGTTAACTTTCTGTAAGGCCTTTCGATGTGCAGGATCTCTTTATACAAACTAAATACAACTTGAGCGTGGAGTTTTACGAAAACCCTTTTGTGTGACAAACAAAGGCTTTTGCGAGGTAAAACGTTTTTGTAACACGAGCTCTTTGACGCAATATAGTTATATTTATATCCATCCGCCTAAGAGGACTGATGTATTGGCTTTATGGCGTTTTTAGAATCACCTTGAACTGCATGTATGTACAGTAATGGCGAAAATTTATGCTTATTGTTCTGATTATTTTGTGATATAGGTATAGCTAGTATACGACTAGATTGTGCTTATACGCCTATTGTAAAACTCAATATGTGTACTCACAGTCTCACAATAATATATATACACACATTTCATCGCGAAATATAAGTTATGGATAATTTAAAATTTTTAGCTATTGCCTGGGATGTCTCATATAAATACTTGCTCATGCGTGCTTCGTGGTTTAAAAACTGTTGCTGTTGTTGAGCTGTTATTGAGCTCAGGATTACGAGGAGAAAGAAAATCGAAACAATTCCATTTTCCTTCTAATATTTCCTTCTTATTACTCACAAGCGCCGTATCCTGTTCCAGCACTCTTTAAATTTACAATAAAAAGGGTTTCATTTCATCAAGTTAAACAGGTGATTGCTTGGTCTAAGACGGCCGGTAATTTGAGAGTTACTTGCAATGAATGCTTGCATATATATGCGTAACGTTTTAATCCGTGGTTATTACATGCATATATATTAATTCCACTACTATAAGGGCCTGTTTATATGATCCCGTTTAGCCGGGACGGGATGTTTTCATCCCGCTTAGCCGGGAAACTCGCCTAGGCGGGATGGCGTGTTTATATGGAGTTCATTTTGTAGTGCAGGTTCCTTCGACAGCATGTTTTATTGTAGAAAACGAATATGCCAATATATACACATGCTCCTAATGTATGTTAATCGCGAATCATCCCGGCCAAGCGGGATGGAGTGTTTATGTGGCAATTTCTCGTCCCGTCTAAGCGGGATCCCGGCAAGAAGTGCCGGGATCCCGCCTAGGCGGGATGGAAAAGTGGTCATGTAAACACTAATTAGTGTTTGTATTACAAGCGGGATCTCGGAAACTATCCCGTCCCGGCTAGGCGGGATCATATAAACAGGCCCTAAGTCTATATATTATTTTTAAAGTAAAAAATATTGGATAAAAGTTCGGAAGGACTGTCAAAGCGGGGACTGGTCTAAATTTCACAAAATACATTATATATCATTCAAACAAAGGTATAAATATATTTGTCCTACAATCAATAATCTCGATATTTCTATACCGAATGCTATGACATTTGTTTTCAAGATAGATAGGTTACTCGTGAATCGTGATGTGCATAATTTATCTTTATGCCCCAAACCAGCCCCCGAAGCTGCTCATTCATTATAAAACATGAAATTTTTAGCGGATATTTATTATTCTACAAGTTCGTCTATCCCACAATCGTATTGAAAAGCAATATCGTATTGACTTTTCTATACCGCCAACCGCTTTTTATATATCTTTGTATATACATGTTTTCCCAAAGGCAAAGCGTATACACGTCACGATACTCTTGAATAAAAAGACAATAGAGAGTCTTTCATTGAACCTTTATTGGATGGGAAGACAAAGATGCTTTATAGTCTGCCACCTTTGTATCCGCGCGCTTAATATTCCAACGAATTTATTATTCTTGTAGGGATTCGTAACGTTGCAAACGCGAGAAATATACTTCAGGCCATATACAACGAATTGGCCATGTAGATTAACAAAGAGATAAATTTTGAACCCTACTACAATGCCATGCAGGTAAATTTTACTCCAAAGGGTTGATAGATCAGCGAACAAACTACTCCATAAGTAAATAGCAACCAAAATAGCGAATACTTGGGATTAAATGGAATATTTAAAAATTCAACTAGGAACCAGGTTAAGATGAACAGCCTTCATACACTGGACTCTCCTTAGAGACTCCCTAAACACCCTTCGTACAGAATTCCCGTAGGAACGAGATTGGCAATCCGAACATGATCATGCTTTATATAAAAACTACAATGAAACACGCAATTTGATTGGTTCGTAGGCGTGCAGTATGAGACAATCCTGTACGCAAAGTTTACAATGCCGCTTTGCGCGGAAAATTTGACCGTCGTTTCACTGTAGTTATTTTATAAAGAAACTACTAAATGGTTTTCCGTGCAGGATTGCGTGATATTCGCCTACGGCTCGTGCTTTTTCACGCTTTCCGAAAGTCTCGCAATTTCCCGCGTGCAGTATCACGCAGTCCTGCACGGAAAACCATTTAGTATTCCTTTATTCAGGCAGCATTTCCACCTATGGGTAACCTAGTATTTATTCGCGCGGTAAGCCCCCTTGCACTTCACCGAACTAATGAAGCCACATGCAGCCTAAAACTTCATGTTCCTCAGAGAAAAACGTCATATTCTGAGGAACCTCAGAGAGAAACCTCATATTCGCAAAAAAATTTTTGTGGAATATTTTTTTCGAAAAACTAAGAGTTGAGAAAAACGTCGAAAAGTTTTATTTTTTGATATGTGGATCGCAAAATGTATGAAACCCTTTGAAGTTATGTTCATTAATTACTGATTATAGCTGTTTATCCGTGAATTTGAATTGGGAAGAAGCAGTTATCTCAAACCAAGTTTATAGGTGAACCTCAAAAAACCAGTTTAAATTTCGCTAAAAATTTAAGTATTAAAACTATTCGTAGCACATTTATGTAGTTGACAAAGCCCTAGATACTTGATTCTACTCAAATATGTATGATTGTGAAGTCGATCAGTTAATATAGTTACGAGTAGAACTGCTTTAAAACTTAAAAACTTAGAACTTAGAAATGCTTTTACTACCTTTGAACAAAAACTCAGTGAAATAATCGTCTCATCGTAAAGATTATATGGTAGAATGCTTTCTATTGCTACGAGGAAATATTGCATGCCTTTCAAAAAGTACGGCGAAAGATTGTTAGCACATGCATGCATGCACGCGTTATTGGTATGAATGAATGAATTTATTTGTTCCATCTTTGGGTAAAAAGTACAATGAATTTACAGAAATATATACAATAGCTACATACAATATTTACAATATTAAAAGAGAGCTAACTATACATATTTTTTTTTTCCGTAAGATCGTATGAGTTTTCTCTGTAGTCCGGCAACAAAGTATCTAACAAAACTATCAACCCTTTCTATTTCCTCATCTCCACTTCGGATGCGAGGTGGTTCTGGGATTGAATCAGTGAAACATATCCACATATCCTTTGTTTTTTTCGGGTTCAAGACCACGAATACGGACTGTAACTCATTCTCGATCAGTTCGTTCGCAACTGATCGAGAATGAGTTACAGTCCGTATTCGACATGCATCCGTTGAGAAGATCGCAGTAGCATGGCAGAGCGGGTTTTTAATCGCTCGTTTTGTAATCAGCACAGACGGTGATTTGTGACAATGTCTGTTTATCGCTTCGACAATTCTCTAAAAACTTCGCAGCGACCGTTTCTCGAAAGGTTCCAGGCCCGGCACTTATGAGATGTCGCGCCCGAGATAACAAAGTTAGGTCGACCAGTGCGATAATACCGCGATCAACCACATTAGACGGGGGTCTGTAGGTTACGCCTTGGGATTGTTTCACTACATCATCATGAACATCTTTGAAAAAATTCTCATCATAATGATTCTTACTCCGGAAGCGAACCAGCCAGCTCGAACCGTATTCACCCATATCCGTGGCGACGTAAACACGAGATAACCCTGTGATCCTTTTTAGAGCAAACAGGGCCTGTAATAAAGATTTTTGGTCGGATATTTTTTTAAACTGTGATTTGTTAGGTAACTCTATAATTGGTTATAGTTAATTCTAAAATACGAGCATGTATGTACATTCCAAATCAAAACATAGGCGACTTCAGAGCTCTTGACTTATGCCTGCATGGGCTTGTATAGCTGTGATTATTGTCATCAACATGGAACCAGGTTTGTAAATAATTTTGTAAAAAAGTTATGAGCAAAAATACTTCGCATGCATTTTGCTCGCGTTGATGGATGCAATTTAAACATCAGATAATGAGATGATAAACCTCATTAAGATTCCTATTACCATTTCATTATATTGATATGGAAAGGCCAGTGAATGGCTGAGAAAATTTCAAAAAGCTGTTAGCTATACTGCATTGTATACGAATTGCATTTTACGCGATCAAAATGCGACGTGCAAAACTAGGCCTAATGTGCAATTCAAAGAGTCGAAAATCAGTGCAATACGAACCTGAAGTACTAGTTGAATACAGTCTCGAAGATAACTGATGGAAAATTCACGCAACATGAATTCACTTCGTATGTACACCGCAATGTAGTTTTGTGACAGTATCTCATTTTGAAAACGCTCGACCTCTTCCATGACAGGCTGCCCTGGCTTCAAAGCTAATGCAAGATCGGTTGATGAATACTTCATACGGTCTTCACTGAATTTCAAGCGATATGTAGGACCTTCGACTCCTCGCCAGACGAATATGTTCAGGCATTTTTCATTCTTCGCAACATCCCTTTCAAAGACTTTCCAATCTTGTATGATATCTCCGTTCACACAGTACTGTTTGCCAGGAGTTTTCGCCATAGCTCTATCCAAAAACTCGCATTCTGTCCAACCCTTTCGAGACGTGTTCTTCACTATATCGTTGTAAAAACCTTTTTCCAAGCGTAAGTTCGCTTTAGTGAAACCCATCGATGCTTCCGAGTTGTCAATGAAGTGCACGCTTACATGATCCGGGCTATTTGGCGGACATTCCTTGAGGTACTCCATCTTGTCCACAAGTTCGGCATAACCAGAAGATGCTAATAGGCTTTCCAAGTATTTAACATCGTAATAAGTGTCCAGGGGAAGCCACGAATCGTCAGAACGAAGCCTCGTTTGTTTCACTGAGGGTTTCACAACCTTGCGCCCCGTTGTGCCAGCTTGCGCGCAGAGGCTAAGAAACGCACGAGTGTTTACCGAAAGTTGGTCGGTGTATTGGTAGTACGGAAAAACGTATTTCCTCGCGGAATATCGTTTAAATGCCTTCGAAATGTTGATAATTTGGGGGAAAACCAATGCAGTGCAATTTGCAGTTATCGTCGGTTTTCCGGTGCACCTCGTCTCACTTACATTCAACTTTAGATTTTGACCAACACTCTCTTTTATTATTGCGGGTAAGTCTTCGAACTCCAGTTCTGCTATGCACTCACGTTTTATATATATTTGATCGAGAACTTCCTCTTTCGTTTTAAAAACCAGATGCCAAATTGGAAGAAAGAAAACGCCGATGAACACGAAAATCGGAATAATAAACTGCAAAGTGAATTTCCTCCTATACAAATATACAATTATGCACTATATGACCTCCATATATAGCTGAATGCAAGGTTGAATGATTTTCTATTACGAGGCTGGAATAATCTATAGTTAACATAGGTGAATCATCGGGTAAAGACTCAAGGCTTGTATCATTTTTTACATTGTAGGTAGTTCAGGTCATTTAAATGGTGTAGCTATATATAAGTATACTATAGGCTGGAAAATTTTACCAACGCGTCTTATGTAATGTATATATATAAATATCTATATTTCATCTAATGGCATGAATCAACATTTCCTTAACTGCAAAAATACAAATCTAACAAAACGAAATTGACCAAAGTAATATTGCTCAATGAGAATATAACTATAACATTAGAAGCTGGCACTCCAAAGTTTAGGTATATATAATATATTGATCTATATTCCGTCTTGTTTTTGAGTTAAATTGACTGCAATGCAGTTAATTGATTGCTTAAGTATATACACATATATTTAAATAACGTTTCGCGTTAATAAAGTATAGTTTTCCATGATGTCGTCAGTGTTACAATATGTTAATTTCTGTCGGAAAGTGCACGCTCCTATGTGTTATTGGAATTACTAGAATTACTGATTTGCCACAACAATAAGAATTCTCGTCTACACCGGCTTGCCATCAACGGAGACGAATAGCGGGGTAAGCTAGTCATAATTATATGTACTTTCGTAACTTTCCATCATTCCATGCACGGCAAAGATTCCAGAGCGTTTAGCATGACATTTTAATTGGTCGATAGTATATGCGGGCAACCGAATGACCTGAACTACGTTAAATTAACAATATTCTGTCGGTTATTAGTCGTCAACGATGTTAGAAATATAGTTACAAACCTCGACCTGCACATGGTTTGAAAAATCCATGAACGATATAACCTCATAGTATTATAGACCATGCAGACTAATTCTGGGCTTTGTTTATACGTATATCGCTCTATTTTCGAGTGAATTTAGTTTCTCGAAAACCGTGGTAACCTTCTTCATATGAGCAACACATAAATACAATGTCTTGTCAAACACGACTTTTTCATTATTTTGGCTATTGGGATTATTTGTGACTTATTTGATGGAATCATGATGTGTCACAACACGACAGCTCAGCATTAATAAATTCGCAACTTCGTACCCAGGGCTTCCTCCTAGATGGGAAGAAAAGGCCCTGGAAAAGGCTGCCCACGTGACTCCAAATTATTTTGAGTATTCACTATTCAGGTACTAGAGGGCTGCTCCATTTACTGTTCTGGATAATTCAGAACACTGTGCGAGAAGTGTGTGTAATGGAATGCACGTATTGTTCTGGAACAGTGTTCAGTCTATTTCATATGCGTTCAACTATGCGTTTTATAATTGTTCGCATAATACACAGTATAATGATTTCGTCTATTTTCATGTCAAAATGCACTTTTTAGACACTTTTACACATTGAACCTCTCACAACTATAGCCACCACATTCCTGAAAATAGACTATGTCTATGGATGACGAAAAAGTCTTAAAATAAGACCAACATAACATCACACGGTTAAACACATTATCTATTATCATCACTTTGAAACATGTGAAAATTGTAAGTGTCACGTGTTATGTTCTAAATACCCCCACTTAAAAGTAAGGGTAATCAGAACAGTTCCGAACTTTCACGTGACAGTGTTTTGTTCCACTCCGTTACTGCTCCTGAAATCTGGAGAACTCCGAACAGTAAATGGAGCAGCCTGCAGGTTGACCGAATACTCCAAAAACTTTGGAGTCACGTGGGCAGCGTCCTCCCCCTACGAGAAGGCCATGGGTACTAGGTTGTAATAAAGTCTGGTGTAACAGGAAATTTAGCCCTCCCGGAAAATGAATCTTGAATATTTTTTTAAACATTTCTCAGTTCTCACGACTAATGATAAGGACAGTCCGGTTCTGCAATTTTTGTTTTCTCCTCATTCTCAGCCGAACGAATGAAAGTACATTTGAGAGTCGATTTGAGTCATTATAAAGCATGTCATAAGGATAACCAAGACCATTCTTCATAGTACATCTTCATGCCACTCTAGCGAGTTCCAATTTCACTGCCGGCTTAGTGGGGTTAGTCCGAATAAGTTATATAGGGAGTTATAAGCGGTAACCCGAATTTGTTATATAGGAACAAAAACATACATGTTACACAACAATTTCATTTAAAAAAAAACACTTTACTAAAAGTTATGACAAGAAGCGGGCAACAATTTTTCACTTGTTTCCCTAGCGGGAAACATTGCATTTCCCACTCGTGTTTCTACAACTGTATATAGAAACACTGAATGTTTTCTATTTCTTAATTATTTAAACGACGCTAGCCCCGACATGCAGCTACAAGAGTTGATTTCCACGGGGGCGTCTATATGTAATAATATTACAATATAAAAGAAAATGAGGACACTTATAATACTAAACTTTACAATATATGCAACGAGGCTAGAAGTCACTCACACAAAAGCGTGTGAATAAAATTGCTCTGTTACTGAAATCGAATGCGAATACTGATACAGCTTGCTTAGCTTCAGAAGGAAGATTTTTCCAAAGGCAAGCACAACTATACTTGAAACTTCTAAAAAAATTCTCTTTCTCGTTTTGGAAGAGCCAAATTAAATAAGAACCGTCTAGATTTTTTCAACCAAGAGATCGAAGAACGTCAGCAGATCTAGTCTCAAAACTGGCGCCAACTATAATTCTAGCAGCGCGATTTGGCAATTTCTGTAATGATTCTCTCAGTGTTCTATTACAAACTCCCCAAACGGGTGAGCAGTAATCAAAGTAGCTAGGCTGTATCAGAGCGTTATAAATGGATATGAATATATATATGTTAACAGGAATACAGGTTTTCATTCGCTTTAAAATTCCAAGACTCACTCCAACTTTATTGCAAGTTTTAACCCACTTCACTTTTCATCAAGTTTGACTCCCAAGCACCGCATGAGAATCGGTTGATAGGTAATCATAACGGGAAGCTCATTTTTAATGGTAGCAAGGTTATGATGTGATAGCAATGGTAATTGCACTGAGTGGAGTGGAATTTGGTGAGAAATCAAATGCGTGGTTACGAAATCACAACTGTTTGATTTCACACCAAATTTGCACGACACGAAGTGCAATTTCCACTTTATTAAATTCATTTTGAAACTATACAAAAAATTAAGCAAATTCAAAAGGATTTATTGGCTGAAAATACCGTAAACGGTGTAAAATGCGATTATAATTTTCATCTATTTTTTTCAAGAAATTTTGCGGGGCATTTAAAAATTCAAAGACAAAATAATAACATTTTGTGCCATTTTCTCCTGTAATTTGTACTGAAATACTAAATCTGATTGGTTATTGTGGTGAAGACCTTCAATCTTATTGGCTTATAAATGATGTGATTAATGATCAAAAATAGTGCGATTTGGGAATTGAATTCACAACAATTCACGCTCTAATACACAACCGTAACTTACAACAGTGATTCTACCTTATATTTATAGTAACAAAATAGGATGCTTTACCAAACAATGATGCATTTCCTGATGCATCTCTTACAGAACTACAGGATGTTTTTCTTTGGTTTTCGCTCCGCTACAACCCACATTTGCGTCCGCTTACGTTATTATGTGGGACATTAGTTTCGCGGTTGCTACAACGTGCTACCTCAAAACCTCCATTTCCTATATGCTATATAATACTACACTATTGACATTACTTAACAATTTCTTTAACAATACATATACAATTTATAACCATATCACTATATATTTGCTTATACGCGTATATACTATGTAAATGACCATAACTTATGATTGGTGTACTCAACCATGCTTTAACCTAAATTCCGCAATAAATCGGACGTCGCACATCTTGACACGCTCACGACACTTACGATTTTATGGAAATTAGGTATTATTTGGCTAAAAAACGTCAAGCAAAAAAAAAGGCAATATATGAAGGCAATAATACATCCTGATTCTGCATCAGCGCAAATTTTCGTGCTGCATCTACAAACTAGCATATATATAACTGATATAACAAATATTTTTAATGAGTCATCGCCTTGAAGTTCCACCCATTCCTAAATATAAAAATAAAAAGACGCGATGAACATTATATTACATTTTATTGAAAAAAATGTGGATTTTAGGTGTTTTTATCTGTATATGGGATGTATATATGAATTGGATCTAAAATTTATACTGGGTGCAGTATACGTAGTTTAAAAGTGCTTTATGGATATAAACCGAAATATGTTATAAATTTAATCTCTTAACAGTAGAGAGGGATTCACTGCCTAAAGCTAGAGAGAATTGTATAATAACACATAATATAGAAAAATGCAGATGGGTTGAAATTAAACTCAGATGAGAGCTAGTCAAGCTTGAGACAAACACGGCAAATGAATTTAGCTAATGATGATGGATTTTATTTAAACAGGATTTTAATTAAACCTGTGGCCCTATATATAGCTCCGTTTACACTACACTCAGTTTACTGGCACGGCACGGCTAAAATGGGTGCCTGTGTGGACCAGTTCATCCTTGCTCGGACTTTAATTCTATACGGGTACCAGATTTAGCCGTGTTGTGCCAATAAATCGACTGTGGTGTAGGATTGATAATCTAATTTCTTTATACTTCTGGGCATGAATTCCTTCTCAAAAGAAAGAACCTCAGAATTCTTCTTCAATAAGGAAATTAATAATAAGTCACACCCATGTCATATGTAAACAAAAAACGGAAAATGAATCGACAGAAGACAATATTTACGTCATGAGAGATATCGCATCCAGAGAAAACGGGAGGCAGCCAATACTACAGCTGTAATGTTTCGTACAGGAAGGAAAGGCGAGAAAAATTTAATAAATGCACTTTAATGAACGTTTTGAACACATGACAGTTCTGAGAGGTAAACTAAAGGAGCAAAAAAAGCTAAAACGCTTATAGCTTTTTACTACACGACAGATCAAAAACGTTTTACTAATAATGCTTTCAGCTATAATGCAGAACTAGTTACAAAAAAATGCTGAGTAACATCAAAGTGCTCGGAAGTGTTATTGTCTATATACTAGTTAGTAGTTATATACGGTTGTGTCAAATATACGTAAACCAGTAGAAATAAATATAGAAATAAATACATTTTACTCATGCGTTTTCGACGATGTTTCCAAATAAAATGTAAACTCTATATATAATATGAACATTCTCATGCATACGGCTAAAGATAAGATCATTTGCAGGAAGAAAGTTTAGCCGGCATCTCGTGCATTTACCTCTTTTTCTTTTCGGTTACCTGCGCCTGCGGAAACCTATTTCGGATTTCTGCACTTGTTTTGAGAAGCCTATCATACACGGAACGCCCTCAATTACGACGATAGGAAATATCTCAAGGTATAGGCTATGACGTATGGCAGTAGCATAAAAAGGGCAAATTTTACAGGCAAAATAGTATAGTACGTATTATAGTCGTTCGAAGACGTTTCATTGTCGAGCGAGCGTAAACACAACTGGTATGGCAAGGACATCGACTACACTGATCCTAATGTTTCTTTTGCTCAGTTTGGCTGGTAAGGTTCATCCTATTAAGGTTAAGCTTTTTTACAGCTATGTAAATGCATGTTTACAGTAGCTGTACGATATGTATAAGATATACAGCAGTGTCTCGTTTCGCCCTAGTTTCAATATTAATTTTCAATGCATACATAGGTCTATATAAAGTTCGCAACTAGTCACCAGAATACGCCCGGCCAACTGTAGGTTTAGTAATTGAAGTGACAACTGTTCGCGCATTAAGAAATCATGCTAATATTAATAAGTTTCGTTGGTAACCCGAGCATGCATGGATAAAAGTCGGTATACGGCTACTCATTTCATTGTTGCTCAAAATCAGGTGCCAAGCTATCTTTCCCTAAATATTCAATTAGAATTCCCTCATCCGTCATCAAGCTGGTTATTCAGACGCCCGTACGAACTCACACGTGACGAAAAAACCGGCTGGTATACATGGAGATGCAAAGATGCTAAAGGAACTGATGGATTTTCACCCGATAAAGCACATGCAAAAGAAGAAGCCAGAGCGACATGTGGATGAATTAGAAACTTCTCGGAGAAAAAAAAGAAAAAATCGAAGAATCTCTTTCTTAATTGTAACCCATGTATAGTCTTTATGGAATTATGACTTATTATACGCACATGCAAGCCTCATAAAAACTATATTCTCTGTAAGACTCTGTTCAAAACCAACTATTAACTAGAAATACATGCATGCAGCAACCCCTCGCCTCGTTAAACGAAATTAGTTAATAATTGTTAGAAATTTTATGTGGTTTGGGGGTTTTAGAGGGTACATGGTATCTGATGATATGTTAGAAATAGAAATCGAGAAAAGTATGGAAATATTTTTCTCCACGTGGAAAAACTGTAGTCATAGCAACTCGCAACGGCGTATATTTTTAAAGAATTAAAGTTTACCCTCATATTTTTGTGAAAAAATGGTAAAAATACGACATGATTCTTACCTTTTTCTGAAGGTTAAGTTACTCATGTATAGTCAGTGTAATGGTAAATTATTTTAATTATTAAATACCATGAAATATAACATCAGACGTCTCATACAACACTTCGACTGGTTTTTGTACGGGAATGTTTTGATTTTGTTTTCTTTTTGTCATTATGAAAACGGAGTTTATAAATAAAATTATAATGTCGTTTATCACATAACACATTTAGGTTTATAGTGAAAAACATTTGAGAATATTAAAGTTGTGTTTGCCAACAAAAGAATTACTTTTTAAAGCTGTGCCGGATGAAATATTATTAAGTGTAAAATATTCCGAGTTCATTATACACGGTGAATTCGGTCGAAAATTTGATCTTGTTATTTGTTAAATCGTGAAAAGTCCTGACCTCATTCGAGTTTCCCTCTAATTTAGTAAAAATACATATATTCCATATAATATAAAAATATAAATTTGTAAATTTCATCAAAATTTTGCAAAATGACAGTTATTCATTGACGTTTGAAAATACAAATTTTTGTCTCGACCAATCAAGAGCTTAGTAGTTCACACTGGCGCATGCGCAAAACGTAGAAGACCGTCCATGGCGTGAGGTCCATTGCATAATGGCGGACAACTTTGATTTCGCATTTGCATATCGTGGGTATAAATATCCGAGCGGAATTAGTACCCTCGCACGGTGCTCCGCATCGGCTCGGGGATTAGTTCTTTGTATAAGATTAATTGGGATAGACTGCATAGTTTTGTTATGATTTATTATATTTTTTTACACTGCGTTTCAAATTCAAAACTACTTCAAAAAGCGCCAAAATTCAAGCACGAAATTCGAATAAAAATATAGAGAAACTGAATTAGGTCGGTAAGTCGTAATATATTTTGTTGGTTAATCCGCAGATCGTGCAAAAATAATCTGTAGGGTAAAAAACTAACCACTTTTACAAGCAGTCGAATTGTTTCAAAAATCCAGCAATAAAATGTCCAGAGAAAAGCAAGGTCTATATTAGTATAAATAACGACATAAATAATTAGCCTTACTCATGAGGCAGTACGTTGTCTCAGACTCTGTCGCACAATGGCTATTGCACTCATATATGATCTCGAGAGAAACTCGTGCAGTCTATTATTTTTACAAAAAGTTTACTTGCCTGAAGTGGTCCGAGATCCACTGCTTGGTGACGATGACGATGACGACGAGTCGCCAAAAGACGAGAAACCATAGGAATTATGGGAAGGTCGATAAGATCCGCTTCCTCCGAACCAATTCCCAAAAAATCCGCCTGAATTTCGAGGTGAATACTGATAGGATGATCCCCAGCCACCGCCCCAATCCCCGCCCCATCCTCTGTTGTTATAGGGATTGTAATGGTAGCCTGTTCTCGTTCGTCTAGAAAAGGGAAAAAGGATTGAATCAGTCTTCTATTTCGTAGTGACTACCATAAGAGGTGTATCACTCCTACATACCTGGGGGACATTTCACCGTTAAATATCGCTAAGATTTTTCTGGAATATCCACAGCTATTTTGTGAATTGTGAAAATCTACGATTTTCAGCACCATGTAAAAATTTTCGAGAGAAGACAAAACACTGCACACAAGCTTTTGTCCCTCTTTGATAGGTTTCATTGCAGTTACAATAGGGACCTTATAAATATGTAGAACGACTACACAGCGTCGGACGAAGTTTGTTGTACTACTTACCCGCCGAACAAGTATCCAAGCAGACCTCCAGTAGCCGCACCTACATGCAAAATTGACACACAAGAGATAAAAGCGTAATAAATCAAGTTTATTGTAATTGGGAGAAATTGAAATTCCACTATTTTACTATCAGAATTACTCAAACTAAGTTGACAGTAATAACAATTGACCTGCGGAATTGGCGTGAATGTGAATTAATTGTAGAGAATTTTTACTGCTTGTTGTGATACAAACTTTCGGAATTGAACCATATGAAACCTACCGGTCCAAAATCCAGCATTTGAGTTCGTAGCAGATCCAGTTGTTGTACTTCCAGCGGCACCTTTTTTTGCAAGGCAAAAAATAAATTAGAATAATAAATATATAATTTATGCTATGCGTGAATACTAACTGAAAGTCAATGCAAGAAGAGGGATTGAATTTGTATATTTCTTTCATCAACGAGTTTCTTCCAATACTTTGGCATTTAATGCTTTAAATATTGATGTTTTAATAGCTAAAGCAATTACTTGCAATTTTCTGTGTCCGTGGCGAGCGATACGGCGCAATTGACTATGATTAGCCCGCAATAAATTCAAATCTCACAAACCTTGTGTGTACTCGTTACGGTATCCAGGTTCCTGATATGGAGGCGGGGCTGTGTGACCTAGTATACGAAAGGAATATACAGTCTATACGCTCTTGAACATTTTCCTCATGATATTAATTGCTTCCTACATATGAACTGCTTAGTTCAATCAGATTGAGAATCTCCCAGAAGCCACACTCAGACTATTTTACGTATTATTACACAAAAAGGCTCCCCAATTTGCGCGTGATACCTCTAGTACGGAAATGTATATACCTTGTGTATATTCTCGCTTAAAGCCGGGAGGGTCTGGTCCATAAGGTGGCGGCGGGGCACTTGGACCTGGCATGAAATATTACCATTAATATGCAGTAAAGTACTCCTAATCCTTATTCTTGACAATAATATGCGTCCGTGCATGCATGGTAAAAGGCATACCCGACAGACAAGTCTAACATGGCCGGGTTCGAATTCTGAAGACATTTTCCTACTTTTAATTGAGACATTAGTTTCACGGTTTTCCATCAAATTCGATTTGATCGAAAAAGGACAAAGTTCATTGCTTTGGCTTGATCACTTTTTAAAGCGAATAGACCTTTACAGCTTGTATAATATGCAAATCAACCCATCTCAAATTACATGGTCTGAAATGGCTATTCAATGGTCACAACATCTGAAATGGGTTAATTTGCATGCAAGCTGAAATGGTCTATTCCTCATGCAAGTTTAACTATTTTCTAAGTGGGCCTCAAAACATCGGTGTTTATATGCGTTGTTATAAACATATAAATTTAGGGCTGTAAAAGCATTCCCCTAAGCTGTAATTTGATGGAACTTTAACTTAGTTTTAATTTTTTTACGGGTGCCGTATTGTCATGAGATATGTAATGTTAAAAGGTCACTTCACGGACTTATCATTTCCAACCAGGATGATATTCTTCATGATCACAATAGAATTGAAATGTATAACCTCACCTGGCCTTCCCATGTTGTTCGGATCCTGGTTATAAGGAGGAGCAGTTGTCTCTGTATCTGTGCGCAGCGGTTAGGGAGAAAATACAGTGACATTGTTATATTTATCAACACTAATAACGGAAGAAAATCTTGGGAAGCCAGGCCGGGATAATAGTCCTACTGCTACTTTCGGTCTCAATGATGAACAAGCTCAACTTAAAACAAGTTAACGGTATTAGTTAGTTCAGCCTTTCCCGTAAAGGGTTTCAAAATACTTTTAATTCTAGGTAGAAAATAAATTTAAAAATCTTGAACCATGGTTAATCGATTTTTTAAGTTAGTGTACTTGCATGTAGCAATGCCTTTTTTTTAAGTTAAAGTAGCAAAACTCATCATTCAAAGGGCTCAATAGCATTGACATAGAATATACACCATGAGATGATTTTTTCGAGTATCGAGTCCGTTCTTTCTATAAATACTGCGAACGGCCACACCTCGGAAAAAAGCTTCTAGTGTCTGCACTGTATTCATACTGGTACCCTACTTTCTTGAACTAGTTCTATCACTTTGAATGTTGGGAAATTTTTTTGGCACACTTAACCTGCAAGCGAATTTAACAGGCAGTTTTGTAGGCACTAGGCAATCCTGCAGGCAGAATACTAATTCAAATACACACAAAAGGATATATATGTGGATTAGATGTACATGTCTTGAAAACCATGTAGAAAATGACGGCAATAGCAATGAACATGACCAGTTCACCGAAACCACTGGAACTGTTATACCTACCGGAGTATATAGTAACATGATGCCGAGTGGGGAACTTTAGTTTGCATGTTTCTGAAGAGTAAAAGCAAAAAGACGCACCTTTTACGATATCCACCTTGATAATTGTCATATCCATGATAATTTGACCACCCTTGTTTTTTAGCATTCCCCTCTTCCGTTAATTCGATAGTATATTCCAACTGCAAAAAAATATTTAGTTAATGCACGAAATTTACTGAGGTTACATTTGCTTTTTTTACAGATTGCGTCGTGCTATACCCTGCGATACCATATCGTATATCAAATTATATACCATAAGTCAACATATACCAATATAACAAACCACACCAAACCTTACAACACCGAAGTATACTGTGTCATGCCATACTCTAATTTATGAGAACATATATACTGGATGAAATTAGTTAACATACCCCACACGATCCTCGAAGAATATAGGGATCATCCGGATAATCATATCCCTCACAGCTCACGTCAATCTTGCCGAATCTGTACTTGCTATCCATGTCTGTCTTACATTCCCACTAAAATGAAACAATGACATAAGTAATATGATATTGCAAGAGACTATGCATGGGGTTACAATACCTGGGCGTCATAGCCATCCCAGCCTCTGTTGTAACACTGCACAACTTGTGGGACAAAAGCAGAACAACCCGCAGATCCACCAGAGCATCTCAACTGAAGAACGGGAGTGCTTCTTCTTCCCGTGGTCATTTTACCTTGATACAGGGTTAATACTTCGACGTTACGGATTTGAACTCTATCAGAACCTTTAGAACAACATGAAAACAAAAGCACTGTCGAATATCGCTTTTTTAAGCATGGTGTACACAGAGCCAAGCCACTATACAATGAGGCTATGAGCTGATAAACGTATAGAATACCATAAAGTTTATCCAATAAATGTATGAGGAGAGACACCGGGGTACTCAGTGATGCCCCCCTCTAATATTAATTAGCTATATTTCTTCACGAGCGCTGTACCTCTCTGAAATGACTTTTAAAAGATTTCTAAGCACAAGTAGTATTTCGTACAATCATCAACACATCGATTAAGATAATCTCAAGTGCTTTAAAAATAGGGGGGGCACAGGCACCACTGCACGTTTTGCGAAGCCAATCAAACTTTGTGTAACATCAGACTGCGTTTGACGTATTATGGGAGACTTCTATTATTGAGATTTGGTTGGTGCATTGTTAATCCATCAGAATTGCGTATTAAATTCAAAAGTAGATGAAAACTTTGCCCAGGTGATCGAGGTAAAATATCTACATTTCCCTTTATATGAGTTTTCTGAAATCTGATTGGTTGAACTGCTCAGGGTACAGTATATGTATTAACCAATGACTGACAGTTAGTCCTTTAAACAAAATGGCCGACTATTTTCGTCAATGGTCAACACGAATACACGATGCAAGAAATTTAAAAAACACTTCCGAAATATGCAGTTATAATAAGTTAAGACAAGGCAAAGTAACAAGATATAGAATGCAAATATTTCATCGTGGTAAGTAAAGCAGACAAAAGCCCTTATGAAATAAAGTAGGCGTTGTTGTTGAAATTTAGTTTTGCATATAAAAAACAATCCAAATATTGGAAATTTATTAAACATCCTAGTCAAAACTTTTTGTGAATTTACTGCTGTTTAAATGATGAGATTTAGCTATATTATAAACCAATTATGTGTGGCGATTGCACCTATGGTCGTTATTGGTTGATAGCCAAATTGATACAAATCTACAGCCTCAGCAGTCAGCACCTGGTTTCATTTAAAGTTTTAGGCAAGACGTACGACTATAGAATATTTTGTATCTTCTGCGTACAATATTAAAGTGAAAATCAAACCCGTATATGTAAATGAATGGTTTGTTTAATACATTTTGAACTCCATACTTTTTGAAATACAATGTACTCACTGTTTTGTTTTAATATCTAATACCATTTTGGTTTGCTCCACCTTCAAATTACCATGAACTAAACTTTATGTTCAGGAAAAAATAAAATTGGCATTTACAATATAATGGGCAATTTTTAAATCAAAATGTTATGAGCATAACTGAAGATAAGAATAGACTTCACTGCTACTTTAATGAGTTTATTTCCCAAGATGTATTTTTTTAAACTTTTATATAAGGAATAGATAAAAAAAGTGACCCAAGTACGTTGTGACTCCTGTGAACCTCTGCAGGGAGTTTAGCACAATGTGTGAATGTCACTGCATGGCATTAATACTATGTACAAAACTGCAGGTGTAAGTCTAAAATAGTAAAAATTACGAAATCACAATTATGATTTTGCTAATTATATACATCCATTGATTTTTATGTTCATGTTTGGCATTGTCCAACAACTAAAACTATAGGTGGCCCACTAAATATTGCAGAATAGCTCTTTGTGCAATTTAGCTGTGCATGTATATAAATTGAGCTTAAATCTTTGGAATTGGCAATATAATTTGCCAATTTAAAGTTTTCTAGAGTTTTAATGTAAACTGATGACAAAACAGTTCATATGCAAACTGTATGCTAAGACCATGATGATTTGTGAGAGTTATAGATTATAAACATTCTGGTCTTAATAGGCACTAAGGTAGGTTGATCTTAACAGTCAGGTTCTAAAGGTTTGTTTTCCTAAATTGATCCGTAGTTTCCAGCATTAAACCTACTTAGTAAGCTAGTGTTACTATAGGATTTGCTTTAATTTGTTAGGACATATTTCAATAAATGCATGCAATTGTGAAGCAACAAATATTTAGTATACAGCCGGTATACTTTGGGATTGCTATTGCCAAATAACCTGTAGGGAAGTTTATCACTTATAAGCAAGGTCTCTGCAATATAGGCGGACTCACTGGATTCTGTATGGGTGGAATGGAACTCATGGAAGCCAGACTAATATATAAACATACAGTATATACTTATGTAAACCTTTATTGTGATGCCATTAGGAGCATAAATAGCAACTCCTTATGTCTAGCCTTTCTGGGAACATTTCAACTGATCATTGGGTGCTATATTTCATTGCTAGGATTAAACTGGTATAGGAAATCCCTTCTTTTTGTATGCAATTTCGTATAATGTCTGCCATTCCAGTAAGACAGCTGACTAAATAAATAGACTTAAGTGTTGTCAGAAGACTAAGTTGTTAATATAGCGATCGAGCCCAATAAAATATCAAGCTACGCCTGTGTCTGTGAGGATTATCCATAGTTCATAGGGTATTTCAAAACTTCTTGACTCGTACATTACGTTCAATTATTGCACCATGTTCAACAATATTTGCTGTAGTGTAGTGTAGCAGCTTGAAAATGATGAACATATAATATATAGCTACAGTTTATAATGCATTGCACATTCCCTCAGAGTTTGCCAGAAACGGATGAAAGTAGCTACGACTAATTTTCTATACTATATTATTGAACAGGTTGGTTGACTTTTTCTCATCAAATGAGGACGCTTTTTAAGATACTTTTTTATCTATTAGTTGCAACGCTCCATCATTGCCTTGAAGTTTCAATAGTAATATACTCACCGACTACGAATTTTAGGTTCCAAAGGAGACAATTTATACACAGAAGTAGAAAAAATGTATTTCGTCGAGAATCCATACTAGAAATATACAATTTTCGTCATACAATTTAGATTGAACAGTTTTTATACGGTTTGAAAATTTAAAAGAGTTTGGATATGAACAAGATATTATATCGCTTGTTTATATACATTTATTTATCAGAAATGACGTCATTATTTTTGCGTATTTTTGACCTGTTATTGCTGGCAGGCTGCTATTGGCCAACGCTTTTGCTTATTCATCTAGGTGGTATAGTTCCATAATGTTTCATCAGCTGTAGGATTTAAATTTTAATGATTTTTTCTTGACCTTGCAAAATTGATTTTCGTATCAGATTTACTGTGAAGCAAACTAGAACCTGTACACATTAGCCCCGTTTACACTACACACGATTTATTGGCACGGCACGGCTAAAATTGGTACCCGTACCCAATTTTTTTAGTGTTCAGGCAGTAAATCAGGCTACCAAAACAAAGGCCGAGCACAAATGAAATGGGGCGTAATCGGGGCTATTGTCATTGGTGGTTCAGGTCGATCGATCTGGGGCCGGTTGTATGACATCCGGATAGCGCTATCCACAAAATAGTGGTTTTTCAAGTCCCTTTAAAGTCGTCTGTTGTTGGGTGCAACTTTGATTAAATCTTAGTATTTCCTAAATTAAGGATCCTCTTTAACAATTGTTGGTTCCAAAGGCTAAAATTTTATTGTGCATGTGCAAGCACGGGTGAAAACTGAAATCACTATTAAAAATCACTACGCAGTTACTGGGTATCCGATCTAATACAACTTTCTTCCCTCGTTTTTCCCGCCAGTCATATGCTCTTGAAGGTAGTTTTATCATTACTAAAGTCTAAAGTGATCTAGGTAACTAGAATTACAAGATTAATAAAGTATAAAGAGCTTTAGAGCGGTATGAAACACGAAAGGTTAACCCAATATATTTCAGCCACCATGCATCTTCAGTACAATAATTTGGAACTAAGATCTATTTAAAAAAATCCCAGTACCTACTGACATTGTAAATATAGCTCTATATTTCGCGAAATTAAGCTCTGTTAGGCAGTGTTAGTGACATGAAAGATCGATCTCGGAGTCGCATCGACTTCCAGATCAATCCTATAGTACTGAATAGAAAGCTAAGGAACCGTCCTGGATTGTGGAAATACAGTCCTTCAGACTCCTTCTCGTTTCACCTGCAATCTAGGAAAAAGGGCCCGTTTGCGACATTTCTGCATTACTGGAACGACATCTTCAGAGGCAATAATTAAAAGCCCTTTTTGACTCTTATATTAGTCAGTTGGTCTTATACTTATCTATTGTCATAAGCTTAGTTTCGTCCTTCAACACAGCAAATTAGGTGAGACCCCTGTTTGCTCCTGATCCCGGCGCAACTGCGCTGTCCCCTCCGCGCCCGCCTCAACAGTCAACACCCCTTTTGTGATTGGCAAACAACGTGACATATAATTCAACAGCCGCTATCGATGCACTGGGGCAATTGGAAACGAAAAGTTCACACCGTGGTCCCAGCCGTCTTTTCCCTTTGGTTTGGCCGAGATGCATGCATTTAATGATAATATATAATGTAATAAAACTACCCCTCAAACAATCCCTCGTGTATGAATAATAGTGAAAAGTGTATTTTACAGCTTGATACAAGTAAAATCCACAGTAAATAAAAAGAGAATTTATTTTTATAACAAGAATCTCTTTCTTCGCCTTTACAAATTTAGCCTTGGCCAAAGCCACGTTTATAATATTATTTGTCCAATGAATTGCAACGATTCACTTTCAGACATCAGCGGCAAAGAAAGTCCACTAATTCGAGCCTTTCAAGGCATCTCTCGGCGCGGGAGTGGATCTTTGTATACTTCGGTATATTTAACAAGTGCCCCTAGACCAGCTAATGCCAGTGAACAGCCAAGTCCAACCGGTATTCTTCGTGCTGAAAAGAAAAACGAGGTAAACACACTGCTCAGCCTCAGTGTTGAGACACACTGCTCAGTGTTGAAATACACTGCTCAGTGTTGAAACTGACATTGCTCAGTGTTGATGAAACACACTGCTCAGTGTTGAAACTGACATTGCTCAGTGTTGAAACTTGACATTGCTCAGTGTTGAAACTGATATTGCTCAGTGTTGAAACTGACATTGCTCAGTGTTGAAACTTGACATTGCTCAGTGTTGAAACTGATATTGCTCAGTGTTGAAACAGACATTGCTCATTGAAACTGACATTGCTCAGTGTTGAAACTGACATTGCTCAGTGTTGAAACACATTGCTGAGTGTTGAAACTGATATTGGCAATTGCTCAGTGTTGAAACACATTGCTCAGTGTTGAAACTGACACACTGCTCACTGAACCTGAGAGAGGTTATGAGATGGGCAAAAATGTGTTTTATCTAAAATACACATGAATAGAGACAAGAAATTGGTCTTCTCAAACTACATACTAGTGCCCCAATGTCACATATAAATAAAAAGTGGGCAACTCTATGTAAAGACAATTAATACCTGTAGTCATAAAATGTCAATATATTTCAGTGTTAATAAATATCTAACCTTGTATACCAAATATTGAACCAGCTACTGCTCCACCAAAAGCCCAATTTTTATAATCATCTTTATCTCGTATTGAAGCCAATGCACATGTTGAACCTGCAAATACCGCACCTGCACTACCTGCAAGAGATAATACAGGAAATAGGATCTATTTAAAAATGGGTGATTCTCTGGCCACACAATCATGTGACAATGCTATTTTATTTTGTTACATGCAAAATATGAAGCCTGAAAAAACAGCAATTGATGTGATGTATGTCACCAGAGAATCACTCAAATGTCCAATAAGGTCTGTTTGCACTGTAAGTCTATTCTTTTAATATATATTCATAAACACCCAGGTTTATGTCAACCAGAATGCTCTAATCCACTTGGTCACATCTATGTATCAAAACTTGGGAGAAAATTTCACTGAATGTCATGTACTGGTTTAATTTTTGTTAATGCCTTAAGGAACTGCCATTGTGTTATACAATATTGGAATACTATGTAAACTTACCTATGAGCAAAGTGTATCTGCTAACAAGTCCCATTGCTTGAATTATATTTGGTTTGGGATGTGGAGCAGGCGTCATAAAAGCTGCGGCAACGCTACCGTATAGAGCTCCTATGGTGATGGAATAAATGCAAAATAATTTTCGCCACTGATTGACAAGTAATCGCTGATGCATGCAACTGTGAGGATCCATGTTGTATGCAAGTTTGGCCATGTTTTTTAAACTTAATTTCCTAAGCAAAATAGTTTAGTCACTTCTTCCAGAGACACTGCTTTCAATTATTCACCACCTAAAGTTAATCCCATGCATTTGAAAGGATTAAACCCACTCTCTCTTAGCAGATGTTTTGGTTAGTGAATACACAATTGTTAAAACTGTAAAAATAGTTGTGTTAACCAAAGATTTTTAACAACTTCTTAACTCTGAACTGTCAATCATTTTATGGTGGTGTAATTGTGATTTGGCTAGGGATCATGCACGTTGCAAAACAAAAAATATTAAATAGTTATCAGTAGGCTTTGTTACTGTAAATTAATTAGGGATTTTCATATAGGATTGATGTCTTATATAATAGATTTTTATTATTTAATAGGGGTTTATAGATATAGTCGGACGTATTTCACCTGCAACTGCTGCATTTCCACCAAACGAAACGACACGATTGATACAGTGGGAGCCATCAAACTCGTCCAAAGTTAATTCAGAGCTCATTTTAAACCATTTGGCAGATAAAATACGATTTAAAGTGCACACAACACAGTATTACAGTAAATAATCAGTAAATTTGCCAATATTTTGTATTCGGGAGTCATCGGTTGGCAGCCGTAAGGTGTCGGGCACTGGTCGGTCATTCAGTCACTACCGTGCTTCCAGTTTATATTAGAATTTTCATAAATGTGAATCCCCCGGTTTCCGATCTACACACCATAATAAACACTTCGCTATAAAACGCTATAATAGAAACTTTGCCGCTGCAATCTCCCAAACTATAATAATATATATTGATAAACGCAAGACAAAGATATGTACAGGGTCACAAAAAATATTCCACATCAGTTATAGTATGATTTAGAGTCATTTTATAGTTCACCTTGCCCTAGTGAGACGCTACAGAAAAGTAAGTGCATGTAATTGAGAAAAAGCTCTGAGTTTTCCGAAACTTATCCATGATCAGTCTCGCTTGCAATAGCCGTTAATGCGTTGAATCGTCCTTCGGCGCATGTTTCCTCATTGCGTCGTGGGTTATGTATTTCGATCTGTCTGAAATATATATATCTTTTTTCTCGATGTTTTAAAATAGCAATAATCGACAGTCTTTACCTGCTTCTTCTCAGTGAAAAGTTGGCGGTGCAGGATGCAATACAACTACATATAGATATACGCGTTGTATTAAGTCGTGGGTATCTTTAGTTATTATGAGTACATGTATTTGAGATATATTTCATTTCTACATTTATTTACCCTATTATATATTGATATGTGACTTTTTCCGGCGTGAAGTGGAAAACGAGAGGAACGTTGAATGTCAAAGAACCTGAATCACATTATCAAAGTATTTCTCTATCCATGCACAGCCTCGTACCCAGGCGCTTTATTGGAAAACATAAAGACTGCATTCAGCGTAATATGAAGATCTGTGGCTAAGATGTGCGAGCGCGCAGGGGTGCTTGGGGAGGACGCGACAAATAAAGCTTCGTTCTCCCGTCGCGTCCTCCCCAAGAACCCCTGCGCGCTTGCACATTTTCGCCACATATACAATACAATACAATACAATACAATACAATACAAACAATATCTCTGTATTACGCTGAATGCAGCTTTTATGTTTTCCAATAAAGCGCCTGGGTACGAGGCTGATCTATGCATGTAACGTGCACATGCGAAGGATGCAGTAGACCATTTTGGTAATTACGTCACAACATTAAAACCCGTGCATGAAAAATAATTTTTCATTTTTATGTACTACTTTGTGTATAGTTTCTGTTAAAAATGCTCAGACGATTTTCAGAAATGACTGTTCGGGACACTTTGTATCATAAAGTATCTGCTGCATATAAAATTTTTAATTGGAATAGTTAATTTG